AGGTTCAAAAACAGACCTGAAATGGCACTGAGAGCTCTCTCCCCTGCCACTGCTGAAGCAGTATGTTTTCCTCTCAAATTGAAACTTAAGAGATGCACTTTGCTTAGAAAATTATCTTGGGAAAACACATTGTATTTTTAAAGTGAAATAGTTGGAACTGGCATGTAATTCTGTTGTATTTTTTTGTGATACAAAGTTCTTCTACATCCTTGTTTCAGACACTTTCTACATTTCCCTAAAAATACGTTAAGAGCCAAACCGCATCATTTTTATAAGAGAAATCTTCAGCAGTATTTGTAAGTTCCATGATCTTTTCTGCTAACTTATTTAATGAGGCCAGCATGAACATTTTTCCTATGTGATTTTTTCTAATAGCACCTGCTTCCTTTGTGAAAATACCACACAAAACAAAACAACTCCCCAACTCCCCTCACTTTGTTTACAATAATTCCTAAGTATTTGTCTCTTTTAATTTAAAAAACACAAGAAGAAAAAAAAATTCTAATCACAACCTGCCCTCAGTAACCCCTAAAAGAAGCAGTAAAATATATTTTGAACCATGCGGTTAGAGATGAATAATGTTTTATCAAACCAAGTCAATCATTGTAGATGAAGTCTCTGGTTAACAATAATAAGCAACTAGCACCAGCAATCCAGATGTCTGATTAAAGTATTAATAGGGACTCTCCTTAACCAGAGTGTGTTACTCCTTAACCTCCAGCTCAGAGCTCTCCCTGCAGCTCACGCAACATCACTGCTGACACCAGACTTGGAGCACTCAGAGGTCTTCCTGCAAATTATTTTTCTACTAGTTGTAAGAAGTTATTCCACTCTGAGTACTTCTTCTACCTGTGAAAGCAACTACAACTTCAAATCAGCAAGACTGTTCTTATACTAGCTGGGAAGTTATTTATGCCTCTTAGGTCATCAATGTAAGCCACAGAAATCAACATGTAAGAGTGAGCGAATCAAACCAATGTATTAGTAATTTGTTTTAGTAGCTTTTCCTCCAACTACAGGAAATAGTAATTAAACAAACCTGAAGCAATTAAAAGTGCTACTGTGCTGGGTTTATTGGGGTTTTTTTTGCATTTGCTATTTTAATCACCAACAGAAAATACTGGCTTTGTATAAATATTACTGACACAAATTTAAAATAAATTTATTTAATATGATCAATTTGCTCAAAAGAGATTATACGTATCTTAAGAAAGGTACTACAAAAGGAGGCTGAGGGGAGACCTTCTAGCTCTCTACAGCCACTTGAAAGGAGGTTGTAGTGAGGCGGGGGTCGGTCTGTTCTCCCTAGTGGAGAGTGATAGGACAAGGGGAAATGGCCTGAAGTTGCACCAGGGGAGATTCAGGTTGGATATTAGGAAGAATGTCTTTACTGAGAGGGTGGTCAGGCACTGGAACAGCCTGGCAGGGGAGATGGTTGAGTCACCATCTCTGGAGGTGTTTAAGAGACAGGTAGATGTTGTGCTGAGGGACATGATTTAGGGATCTTGATAGGGCTAGGACAAAGGTTGAACCTGATGATCTTGAATATTTCTTTCAACCAAAACTATTCTATGATTCTATGACTCTACAACTTACTGTCCTTAGGAACTGTAAAAATTTAATTTAGGTATTGAGGGGAGAAGCTCAAATTACAGATACTTATGGCTTAATCCTCAAATGATAAAAGTAGATGCTACTCTTCTAGAAATTTTCACTACCTCTTAAACGGTCATTGGGATGAACGTAATAATGAAAATTCTTAAACATTTTCTAGGATATTGAAGCCCTTCTATAGATGCACATTTTCAGCTTGCCATATGCCAGAGGTAATAAGAAGCACTTTATTTACCTATAACAAGCCCCTAAGATTTCAGATGCAGAGCAGTAAATTATGCCTTAGGCAGTTAAAACTTCTGCACAGGCATGTGCTGATTGTGTTGCCATTCTATATCTGTATCATTTTCACTGAAGTTCTTGTTGCAAAGCTACTACAAAGTCTCTTTTTAAAAGGCATATTACTAAACCCCAAGCACTCAACCTCAGCTCACCTCAAACGCTTTTTAAAAAAGACTAAGCTAAAGAAACATGAGTTGAATGCTTAATCCATCAAACACCTAAGGCAGGGAGTCCTTCAGCAAAACAAAAACCCCATGAATCTTTCTGCACACCAGCACCAAATTACTTGAAATACAGGAAGGAAATAAATAGAAACATCAGGCTCCAAATCTCCTTTAAAACCTGAATGGAAGGAAATTTCACTTCTAACATCGCTAATATCACTTGCAATAGCAGAAGTACCTCTCTGATTAGCTATGTTTTCCTTATGTCCCACCTAAAATTTCCTACTCTGTCTTGTCCTATTTTCTCTGAAGAGGCAAAAAAGTATCTTTATCAACTCACTCTTTGCACAACTATAACATTTGTCTATTACTTCAATTACTAAACCCACTGTTCTTTTAACCTTCACTTGGAATCATATTTTATATAACTGCACAACCATTACTGCAACCTTCTGCAATCCCTCCAGTCTCTGTCTACATTCTTCTCAAAGCTCATCATCCAAAAACTGAGGACACTTCTCCAAACTGCAGCCTTGGCATACCCAAACCAGCAGAAAAATAGTCTGTCCTTGATATTCACCACCTCTCGTGATGTATCAAGCTTCACAGTGGTAAGGTGCATTTATTTTCTAAAGCACTGTAACATCACTATCGCCTTCATCTGGCTGCCTAACCAACCACTCTTCCACCCTCAATTTGTACTTCTAATTGCTGTACCATTGCACCAAGTTTCACCTCATCAATTTTAGATCCTTTGGAATTCTGACTTTGTCACTCATAATTCTTCTACCTACTCCTAGCAATGGTCTGTCTACTGTTTTTAAGCATATATATATACAGATATTAATTATTGAGCAACAGAGATTCTACCAAAACTGAATTGTCTACCTACTTTTCCTTCTTGCTTTATTTGCATTTCACCCACAAGCTTTTTTCAAATGCCCTAGAGCAGGCAGTTCATCTCCTTTCTTTACAGTTGTGGAAGTCTTTCCTTTTCCCTGTCAGGAATTCCTACAACAGCCAAACCAATGTCATCAACATGAGAGAAATATACATATGGCTTTGGGTTATGGATTAAAGTTTTTCAAATATTGTTGTGCATAAGACAGGGAAACTACATCAGTTTCTGGTTAATTAAATGTGTAAATATTAGGATTAACATCTTTTTGCTACTAAAAATAAGATAGCAAAAATCTTAAGTTTTTATCTGAATCAGCAGATACTGAGATAGATTTCTCAGCCTGGGCAAGGAAATGTGAGGATTACCTACAGAGCTAAAAATGCATGAAAGTGATTAACTGCCCAATATATGTCCTGCAGCCAGGGAGAGCCTCAGCAAGCAATTTCAGCTGAGAAATAAAATAAGAGTGAAATTAGGTAAAGCGTGAAAGGGTAGCTAAGAGTAAATTAAATTAAGCTAATACTGAAAGGATAGCTGATGCTACCCTTACTACTATTTATTTACTACCACATTTAGGATTTCTGAACTGTCATCTCTTCTCAGGGTTCTCACTCTCACACCTCTTGGTTGGAATAAGAACATCTCATCCAGGACTCAATTCTGCCTAATACAGGGCTTGCATTTCCAATTCCTCCTGGCAATATCTCCAGACTGCTTTTCCTTACCATTTAGATAGCCTAAGGAACACTACCTTTTGGTCTTCTACTGTTTCTCCTCCTGGCTGTTTTCATAATCCAGAAAGTTCTTCCAATAGAGGAAAGTAGCCTCCCCTGAGAAATGAGCCGGGAATTAAGTCCTGTGCAGATAACCCTGCAGATGCAATTACCCACCCTGCAAGTAACCTTAAATCAGCTCTTCAGTTGCCTTCTAGCACTGTGGGACTATATATCACATTACTGGAAATTGCTTTAGGACCGTGCAACGAACAATATCAGGTTGAAAGTTAATCAGTTAAAAATACATACTAGAGTTATTTATTTTTTAAACTTTTTACAGTGCAATGCAAGAAGGAGTGGCTCATCAGATGACTGGAGCAGTCTTCCTTCTAAACCAGTAGTTCAGGAGACCACACTGTTTCACTTTAAACTCACTTTAAGTTTTTTGTAGCGGTTTTCAGTCACCGTAACTGCTAGAATTTTAATCAGGGTCTTAACAGCTTTGAATAAATAGGTGCCCTTTTCCATATGCTTCCCATAAACGAAAGCCTGAATTCTAGAGCCTGGCTTTGCAGTGGTGGGTGAATTCCACAGCTGTGGGATCATGGAATACAAGGGGCCCAATTATACAAAGCAAGAATCAGTTCTGGTAGATGATTAAAAGCTAAGATGAAGCTGAAGAGTTTAAGACCCACAAAAACTAGTTCTTGCCTGTCAACTCCAATAGAATGAACATTATTTACGTGTTGAAATCTTGAAAGAAGGTTCAAATCAACCACAACATAATGAAAAAAAAAAAAAGGGAGGGGTCATGCCTCATCAGGAATTTTTTTGCTGCAAGGGAAGTTTGCAAGTCCCTCAGTGTTGCTTTTTTAGGCTCCCCATTAATAAGACACTGTGGGTACTTATGTATTAAAATATTAGAGCCACACACATAAAAGCTGGATTATCTCAAGTCTTCTCTACTTGTGTGTACTAGACTGAGAAAGCAACTTGGGATCATGACTTCAAGCCTGAGTCCCACAGCAGCAGCAGGTACGGTGCCACACAGCCTCTGTGCAGCACAGTTCTTCACAAAAGCGTGTGTGGACCCAGCCATGCAGAGACCCCTTCTCTCTGTGACAGCACAAAGCTTTAGCTTTGCCTCTCTTCCAGTGGGTGCTGCTGGCCCCTTCAGCCAAACTAGTGCCCACAAAGGTCTAGATTAACTTCCCAGCTCTGCGACAGATCTCCAAGACTTTGCCATGTTATTTAAATCCTGACCCAGCAAAACACTTCAGCACAAATGCACCATATTCATGGCTACAGACTAGACCAAATGCAAGGTCTGCTCTAACTGCTCTCCTAGAGGAAACACACTTCTACGTCTCCAGTCTGTAAGACAGGCATAGAAAATGGTAACACATACATCCTTGAACTCATAAAATCAGCTATCATCTTTGACACTGTATGCATAGTGTCTGTGTCTAGAAAAAACACAGGGCACTTGCTCGGAGTTTCTTAATAATGCAAACAACCAACAGCATTATCAGTAGCCATTTCCATACTATGAAAAAAGGATTTAACTTTCTTGGCTCTGACTGAAATTACAATGTACAAGCTACGTGCTAAACTTAATGGCTTCAATCAGCAGTTACTAAACAACTTAAGCTCCAAAAAACAGAAATTAACCTAGTGGTGATGACAGCTACATACTTAGTGGTATGTCCCCATAAATACTGTCATAAGGGAAAACAAGAAAAAAGATGCACTTCACATTCAAAAAAGATTAAGCAAGAGCACCCCTGGACTAACATGACTTATTTGTTAACACATTTTTCAATTGTGTAACAATCCCTTCCGTCTGGATCCTGCTTAGAGTAAAAATAGAACCTAAATCAGTTTTTCACTTGCTTACTACCTTAAGAAAAAAACCATTTCAGTGCTGAAAGAATACACACAATATTTTTATGGACACATTGGAGTATATATTAGGAGCTGCTTAACACATATCAGATTGCTTTCTAGTAATAACCACACAAACACACACAGAGGAGAAAGGAAAAGAAAAACCCAACCAATGAACCACAACAAAAAACCCCCCACAACTGGAATTATATACTCCATGATATGGTTTAAAAATTTCAAACAAGCACTAACCATCATATTTCCCAAGCTAAGCAGGAACTGCTGTTCTTTGTCTGTAACTTCATATATACTGCTTCCATTTTTATGATTAAAAAGTTTAGGAGCCTTGTGCACACAATAAGAATGGAGAAACAGCTTTCTATTAAAAGCACTACTGTGCATTTGCAATTGTTTCAGAGATCACTTACCCTGAGAACCAAAATAATGCCACAGAATCTTGTAAGACACTGCAGGTTTTCATGACCCCATAACCTTGGGTTATAAAAGGTTTTACCAGTCTAGATTCTGCAACTGGTCTCTTTCTACAATTACGAATTTTGATAGCATTTCTCAACCGAGAAAACTCGGTCAGTCTTCCAAACAACCTGGTTGCTCTTTTCATAGATCAGTGTCCACATTTGTGTACTGTATGAATCCATCCTGTAATTTTATTAAGTGAGTAGTCTCCATAATCAGCAGTTACAGACATCTGGTTGCACTTCAAATTTTATAGAAATCTGAGGTGCCTACCACTTTACCAGAATGTGAATATCTTAAATGTCTTCGTATTCTGCCAGTAAATAAAAATATATGACACTTAGACCAAAATTACATGTGGGACAGAGACATACTTAAGGCAGACAAGCATTTGTACAGTACAGCCAGGAGAAGCTGCAGCCAAGGCTTTGGCATGCTTTGCAAGGCTTCTTTCAAAGCCTCTGTTAAATGTATGCTGCTGCATTGTAATAAAAAAAGAGTAGTAAAGATAACTTACAGGAGGTCCAGTTTCCCCCTTTGGACCTCTGACACTTCCCATTTCAAACATTTTGTCAAGATCTTCATAGTCATAAGCATAATTATCAATACCAATTTCATAACTGTTTTCTGTGTGATAAGTCTCATCAGCATCAAATGCACCTTCCTGCCCTGGACTAAGTTGATTATCCAGAGAGAGGTCAGCAGGCAAACTGTACAGGCTTGTATTGAAGATTTGCTGCTTTTTGCTTGGTTCTTCAAAATGCTGTTTTGTTTTGATCATTCCCTTGCTTTTAGTTTTACTCTGTTTTACAGGGGAGACCAGAGAAGGCTCACTTTGTCTGCCTGCGTCTTCTGTGGTATTGTCTAAACTATTTGGACGTGATCCTGTGGGGTTTTTAGTGATGTTTCTTTTTTTGCTCGTCTCCTGCTGATGAAGAGGCAGACTGACGTTCTCCTGGAGTTCTGTTTCAGGCCAAGCTTTGGCCTCTGCAAATGCTGATGCAGAGACATTTCTTGTCTCAAAGTATTCTGGTAAAAAGTGAATCTGAGTAACACCGGTAAAAGGAATGTTTGACGATTCTTGCCTTCTATAAGCTGATACACCTTCTGACTGGTTTTTCTCAGCAATCATCTTCAAAAAAATATCCAGCCCATCTGACACATGCGGATCTCCGAGAGGAGATCGATACGTTTCAGCCTGGCGGCACTGCTGTTTCACATATTTACAATAGTTTGCAGAGGCTTCTGCAGAAGGAATAATATCTAGCTGACATATAACTCCTTCAAAGCTGACAGAGTGGGAGTTCATCCTTCCCAGGGTAAATAAACCATCCAAATCAAAGGTCTCCACATCAGAAAGTACTTCCTTGCTATAGTACTTCTTTCCACACTCAGCGAATATTGAGACAGTCTTGCCTCTGATGTCAATGGCAAATGAATGCCATCGTTCATTATGCACACTGTAATCAAAGTGTACAGACTGCTTCCCTCCAGTGTACACCACTACCTTTCTCGGTAGCAGCTGGACACCAAACTGCAGCCTACTTTTGTTCCTAATACTGAAAAGGAAAGCATTATTTACTCTGTAAGAGTACAACCCAACCAATATGGTGAACTGATGCCCTAGATTTGATGGTATGACTTGAGTGATCGGGGACTCGATATATGCATCACCAGTTAGTACAACTCCTGATACAGTCAGACGAACACCCTGAGGTAACAGAGATGATGTTGAAGGCACCGTTGTCTCCGAGGGCTGTTGAACATCTTTCACAAGGCCTAGATGATGAAGAACATCTATTGCTGTAAAAGAAATAAAAAAAGAATAAAATGATTTGCTTTACAAGCTCATAAATTCAGATCGACGTAAGCAAATGGCATGCACCAGTCTTTCACGTAAATCAAACAAATAATTGAAGCCAGAGCAAAATTTTTGTCTTAAAAGAAAGAAAAAAAAACCAAAACCACACACAGGCCCACATAATGCCCACTGTAGGTTAATTCACTTATGAAACTGAAAAATCCCAATTTGCTGTCTTCAGTCGTTTCACTGTAGTCAACGAACACACTTTGTTAGTTCCTTATTTGTCTGGCTAACCTGACCACTCTTTGAGCAGTTTATTATTACATTTTTTTTTAATTTTAACTTTTTCTTCTGCAAAAGCCTCCTGGAATAAAACCATGCTTTTCCTCTTTATCTGAAAAGTTTAAATGAAAGCATTTGAGGAGAGGGTTTGTTTGTTTTTAAGAAGGGTCAGACTATTTATGACACAATAATACCCCAGGTAATTCAACTGGTACCTAGGGAGAATTGCTATTCTTCCACCAGGGAGCTCTACTCCCACCAAGCAAGGACTCGTGCCATTACAGAGGTGGCTTCAAAGGGAATTATTTTCCGAGTGGGATCACCCTTGATTGTATGTATCTGTGCCAAAGTTAGTCAGACTAAAAAAATCAAAGTATCTTTCCAAGAGGAGATGCAACAGAGTGCATCGCTGCTTCCTTTCCACCCACACCGTTTACTTGTTAGGGCCACAGGTGTGGTGAACTCTGCACAAGCAGCAGTGGTGAGGAGCAAGGAAAGAGCAGAAGTGTCAGGACCCAAGGGGCTGCGCTCCCATCCTCAGGCTCATCCGTCCTCCCAGAGAACGCAAGGCTGCCCAGCAAGGCAGTGGATCAAGAGTGCGCTCCACAGGAGGAGACAGCAGTGGAGGATAAGGAGACAGAGAAACCAGCTGTCCTACTGATTTATGTCTTACAGATTTGGCTTTGGCATGAAACCTGGACATGAGATCTTACAAGGTGGAATGGGCAGTGGTGTTTTCATTGTTGGATTCTCTACTGCCTTGTATAACCTGAGCTTTGTGCTTTAGTCCTTTCACTAGCCTGGACCTTACAGTATCTCCATCTTCTATCTGGCTGAATATTTTCAGATAATGGGTAGAAACACAATTATCTAGGCCTCTAATAAACTGAAATCATATTTGACCTGGGGTAAGAAGTAAAAGCCGTTTTTCTCCTAAAGGGTATATCAATGGCCAAAGATTATCAAATTCATTTGATATTGCTTAAAGTGGGTTTAGGCATGTAGGAGTTGGTGGGCATAAACATAGTCTTCCTTCAGGATGAATATAAAGACGCTGTTAGATCTCTTATGATGAAACAGAAACACTAGAAATGCTTGAACAGGAGCTAAACCACACATCCCCAGCAGCCTTCCTGTACCGTCACAAAGACAGCACTTGTGGCATTGAGTGGTAAAGCTGCTTGCCTGGATGTTTGTGAAAGGTGCTACAAAAATACTGCAGAGACTAAGACTGGGGGGTTGGACTAGATGATCTTTAAAGGTCCTTTCCAGCCCAACACACTGTATGATTTTATGAAAATGCCATCATGAAAATAAGAGACAAGATTGTGCACTGAAATACGTGACATAGGAAAAGGCTGAAGCAGCTACATTTGATTGGGCTGGAGATAGGAAGGTTCAGAAACCTGAAATAACTTCAGTGTTGACCCCGATCCCAGCAGGAAGTAGGACCAGATGAGTTCAAGGTCCCGCTAATTAATTTTGTGGTTTTTCTGTACAAAGGAAAACTGAATCATAGGATCATAGAATCATAGACTGGCCTAG